AGAAACATTACTGAGCACTTATTGTAGTATAGGCAATACAGTGGGAACTACAACCGATATAATAAGAAATTCAAGCCCTCTGACTTTGCCTTCATGCACCCTATTTGACAAAATAGACTTACAGCTATGAGGTGTATGTGTCAAATATAGGGTCTATGGTAAGCTAACTTAGTCAGGCATGTGGAGGGAATCAAAAAAGCTTCCGTCAAAGATACCAAAAACAAAAGAAAAAGTAACATAACAACTGGTTAAGCACATATGAAGGAGAGAAATGTGGAGGGAGGACAATGAAAGAAAATTCTAGAAAGAGGAATCATTTGGAATTCAGTGGAGCAGATGTATTCAAAAGATAGGCCATGGATGAAACCCTAAACAACTCAATATTTGTGACAGTTGCTCAGATAAAAGAAGGACAGCCAGAAAAATTTTGTCTCTACTACATATTTTACTTTGCATTGATTTCTCTCTTTCTAAAACCCAAGCTCAAAATAACTTATTTTTATCTTCTGAGACTTAAATGCACTTGGAATGCAGAAACTAACATCTTTAGACACATTTTCTTTCCCAGATCCTTTCACTTACATTATCTAACTTAATGTTCACAATAATCTTGACCAAGTAAATTACTGTTTCTTTTTATGGAGGCTTAGAGATTGCTCTTTTCTATGAATCCAAGATGACAGACCCATAATTAAAATCCAGGCATTATTGTATTGTGCAGTGTTATTTCCAGGACACCCCTGTAACTCTCTTAATTTAATAATGTTATTCATCCATGAAATGCTTGTTAAGCTCCTGCTGTGTGCCAATGAACAAGATATGATGCCTGTCCTCATGGTGCTTACATTCTACTGATAAAAACACTGCTATTTCCTTAACAGTTCCTATTTGCTTTGGTGAGAAAATCTTTCATGACCCAAAGGTTGAAGTGAAGCATTTAGGATTGATCTCCATTTCTTTGTCCATGTCCCCTGTTATTAAAATGACCTGAGTGCTCTCTCCCCCATACCCAAGGACTCTGAGCAAAGACACGCCTGATAAAGAAGTCAATACTTTGTGCAGAATTTGTTGCTTAGGATGACATGTTTTTTACAGATTCATCCAAAGATCTTTCAGTTATCATGTTTATTTAGTTAACTACATATAATTCCAAAGATTGTCATTGTTCATACCCAAAGCTAAATTTCATCATAGTATACTAAAGGCGTTCAAGAGAGTGACACATTAAAAAGCAACTGTGTGAAAAACCTCCTAGCTCTCTGGGCTGGAAGCAAGAACTTCAATAGGGTATAGCTTAATATAAGCCAGCTATTTTAGTTTCTAGTACATGCATTGTATTAAAAGCATCCTCAGTGACCTTAAAGCCTAATTGCCCTTTAACCAGTGGCCTGTTTATTATACTGTTTGTTGTTGTTGTTAAATGCCATCCAGTTGGTTCAGATTCACAGCAACATTGTATAGGGTTTCCAAGGAGCAAATGGTGAGTTTCAACCTCCGACCTTGTGGCTCAAACTGAACTTGCAGTCCAGTGCTTTATCATATAGCTCCACATCAGGACTCCATCATCCTGCTTGTAAAGATAGTAGTTGGCAATGATTCTCCTAATTTAACCCCATTAATAACATGTGACTTAAGTTAGTGAACACTTGGCAAGGAGCAAAATAATGCACTAAAAAGTTTTTAAATGGCAAGTCAGGATCATGCAAAACAGAAAAACAAAGGTGGAACTTTATTGGAAAGGTAAGCCCATAGGTTGTTGGTACTCCTTATGTTACTACTGATGCAGTCTAATCTTTAATTGTCTTGGCAGGAAATGGTAGTAGTGTGTGTGTTGGGGGGGGGGGGGGGGGGGCGGAAACCTCATATTCCAGAATTCTGGAGAACACCAATTGGTAATATACTGAATAGATTAAATGGAATGAGACTTAAAGGGAAAACACAAAGTAGAAAGAGGCAAATGAAGAATGGAGAGCAGTATGGGTAAGAGTTAAGTAGCCTTAAAGGAACTGTAGAAACAGTGGTCTTCCTGGCTGTTGCAGTCAAGCAACCTCAACATAGATAGGTTCCAAACAGGGTTCAAGTTCCAGCAAATAGACCAGTTCTCAAGAAATGAGGCCAAGGGAGCAATGGGTAGCTAGAGGAAGGACAGCTTCTTGTTAGAGTTTCAGTCTACAGCTTGTGAAATACCTGCTTCAGATTCACGTCAGTAGAAAGGGACACAATGCTTGTAAAAAACAGATTCTTGGAACCCATTCCAGATACTTATTTAGAATCTCCTTGGGTCTGGTGTCAGGTTGGGATCTTTGACAAATGCCCTGCTCAAGGTAAGTCTAATGCACAATTAAGGTTAATGACCACTGGCTGAGATGATTAAAATGGGCTTTCTAAGGGCTTTATTCCCAGATTGTCTAAGGCTGTCAGTCACAGCCCCTAAACCAGAGTTCTGTGACCCAAAGTACTGGTCATACCCTTTGACCCTATGTGACACCTCTGTTGTTGTTCAGTGCAGTTGAGTCAATTCTGGCTCACAGTGAATCATAGGGTTTCCAAGAAGCAGCTGGTGGGTTTGAACTGCTGACATTCTGGTTCGCAGTCCAGGGCTAATCCTACAGTGCCACAGCAGCAGTTAGCCAGTCTTCTTAGAGAAACTGTAATTTCAATTGGTCCTAATTTTTAGTCGAAAGGAGGGCACCTATTACTTCTTCATCAGAGCACTTTTCAGACCCAGGGAGTGGAGACCCAGAAGGACCTCTAGGAAAAAGCAAGAGGAAGAAAGACCCTAAGGAATCAAGTCAGTGAGCCAACATTCATTGGACCGCAATGTTGGTTTGAATTGCAAGGTCAGCGGTTCAAATCCACCAGCCGCTCCTTGAAAACCCTATACAGGGTTCATATTAATTGAAACAGACTCAACCACACTAAACAACAATTTCTAGCAATTGCTCTCATAGAATTGTTATCCACGTTTTAGGCCTAAAAATAAATATGGCAAATTTGTGTGAGGTAGAAAAGATTTAATTAAACTATTGTGTATATGTTCACTGCCTTTGTATTTTCTAGCAGATAGCAGACTGAGTAAATTCATGTTCAAAGTCAGGAGATCAGACAGAAATCCTTAGTTACATAATCCAGTCAATGGGCTATAGAATAAAATCTGAACTGTCTACACCCTGGTAGTCACTGAAATTTCTTATCCCTTCCTTCTCCTAGGATAATTAGGTTTGTTGCTATTTCGTTCTTAAGTGCATCGAGTCGGTTGCAACTCATAGCAACCCTGTATATATAGGGTTTCTGAGGAGCAGCTGGTGGATTTGAACAGCCGACCTTGTGGTTCACAGTCCAATGTATATCCTACAGCACCACACCAGTTGAGTTCTGTTGTTGTTATTGTTGTTAAGTGCCGTCGGTTCCGACCCATAGCGACCCTGAATAGTGTTTCCAAGGAGCGGCTGGTGAGCTTGAACCGCTGACCTTGCAGTTCAAAACGACTTTGCAGTACAACTCATTAACCTGCAGCCCCACACCTAGACGTCTGTTGTTGCTCTTAAGTGCCGACAAGTCGGTTCCGACTCACAGAGACCCTGTATACGGTTTCCAAGGGATGGCTGGTGAGTTTGAACCGCCGATCTTGTAAAGGATCTTGCGGTCCAGAGCTTCATCCCACAGAGCCACACCAGAACTCCTACAGGGACGCTTTGTTGTTGTTGTTGTGAAGTGCCGTCGAGTCGATTGCGACCCATAGCGACCCTGTATAGAGTTTCCAAGGAGCAGCTGATAAGCTCGAACCACCGACCTTGCAGTTCAAACAACTTTGCTGTCTGATGCATTAGCCCACAGCGCCACCCAGGATGCTTGTTTCTTGTTGTTTGTTGTTGTTGTTGTTAAGTGCCTTCAAGTCGGTTCCGACCCATAGCGACCCTCTAGAGGGTGAGCGACTGGTGAGCTTGAACCACCAACCTTGCAGTTCAAACTGACTATGCAATCTAGCGCATTAACCCAGAGCGCCACACCAGGACTCCTTGTTGTTGTTGTTAAATGCTGTCGAGTCACTTCGGACCCATAGCGACCCTGTATAGGGTTTCCGAGGAGAAGCTGGGGAGCTTGAACCTCCGACCTCGCAGTTCAATCAGCTTTGCAGTCTGGTGCATTAACCCACAGCGCCACAAGAGGATTCCACCAGGACTCCGTGTTGTTGTTGTTGTGGAGTTGGTTCCTACACATAGCAACCCTGCACAGTCTTTCCAAGGCTGTAAATCTTTACGGGAGCAGAACGTCTCATCTTTCTCCCGCGGAACCGCTGGTAGTTTCAAACTGCCGACCTTGAGGTTAGCAGCCCGATTTGTAACCACTACACTACCAGAGCTCCTTACTACTAGGTATTAAATCTGTTTCCACTCAGAGGCAGCTAACTGTAGGAAGCCCTTGCTTGTGCCAGGCATTTCTGCACTCAGACACAATATTGCAACCCCTGTTATCTGTTCACAGCTGTGGCACCAAAGGATCCACTTAGAAGTACTGCAGAAACCCTAGTAATATTTCCTAATCATCACTAGTATCTCCTTTCATACATTCTTGCAATGGTAAATGGTAATGGTAAACAGTCCCCCAAACTCAAAACCCACTGCCATATATTCTATTCCAACTTATAGCGACCCAATATGGAGTTTTCGAAAATGTAAACCTTTCCTGGCGCAGTCTCATCTTTCTCCCACTGAATGGCTGGTGCTTAGCAGCCCAGTGCCTACCCAACAACCAGGGGATAGGCTCTTTAATGACAGACTGAAGGCCAGAAAAAATAGTTTTTGTTGGTTTGTTTTTAACTCAAACTAAAGCAAACCAAAAACCGCTTCCACGGTGGCTTTCCATAGTGTCTTTTACTGTCCTCCTTCCCTAAAGAATAAGAACAATCTTTCCCTCTCCAAGTCCCAGAGACACCCACCATTGGGAGCCATGTCAAAGGGACCCCTCTAAGTCACCTCTCATCTCTCTTCTCTCTACAGCTCTAATGGAAAATCCGTCACATGGGCTCAGAATGAGAAGAGTACCCGAGGTCAGCACCTGTGGCAGCGCCTGTCCATTCACATCAACAAGAAAGAGAACCCCAACCAAACGGCCATCATCAAGCCCTTTCCTAAGAGCACAGAAATCCGCAGCCTAGGCTCCAGCAGCTTGGGAGCAAGCACAGCTGCAAGCGCAGGCGGTGCGGGCTGTTCGGGCGCGGGCCCCAGCGCGCCTGAGGCCCAAGATGCGGGCCCCAAGGCGCTGTACGATGTGGCGGAGGCAGAGGAGCAATTCCCCGCGCCGGTGCGGCCGCGCTCGCCCTCGCCCATCAGCACGCTGAGCCACCGCGCGGGTTCTGCCAGCCGTACTGACGACGACGTGCCCTCGCTTCACTCGGAGCCCGCGGCGCGCAGCAGCTCCTCGCAGGGCTCTCTCATGGAGCAGATTAGCAGCGTGGTGACCCGCTTCACCGCCAACATCAGCGAGCTCAACTCCATGATGCTGTCCACCGCGGCTCCTGGCCCTGGCGTGGGCACCCCGCTCTGCTCCACCTACCTGATCCCTAAAGAGATCCAACTGCCCACGACCATGACCACGTTTGCGGAAATCCAGCCTCTGCCCGCCATGGAGGTCCCAGGCGGCGCACAGCCTGCGGTGGGGGCCCCGCCGGCCGGGGGCGCTGCCCGGGAGACCCCGGTGGCCGGGCCTGAGACTGCGGCAGCAGGCAAACCGGACTTGGAGGAGTTGGTGGCTCTCACCCCGCCGTCCCCCTTTAGAGACTCGGTGGACTCCGGGAGTACAACCCCCAACTCGCCAGCGTCCGAGTCGGCCCTCTGTATCCCATCATCTCCCAAATATGACACACTTATCATAAGAGATTACACTCAGAGCTCCTCATCGTTGTGAATGTCATTGGAAACCACCACTTGCAGTTCCACAAGCAGAAAGCCAAGACCTCCGGTGTTCACACAGATACAGTGACAAACAAAGTCACCTAGTTAAGACCTGAGGTGGGAGATGCCGAGTATATCTGTTATGGAAACATAAGATTAATAGTGCTATTTAACAACAACCGACGATAACAACTACAAATCTTTTGGCAGATTTTCTTCTAGTGGCCTTAGAAAACATGGGCTTATAAGAAACACAGCTTATATTTTTGAGGGCTGACAAGGAGTCTGTTGAAACAGTTACAAATCAAGTGCTTTGCTCTAGGGAAACAGCATAATGGAGGAGGGGGAGCATAGTTAATAAGCAACTGTAAAAAAAAAAAAAAAGTTTGTTTACTTTAATTCTTTGCCCAGAAGATACTTTGATTCACCAAACATGAATGTACATTTTCTAACAAACTCAAAATCTGGGACCAAACATCCACCCTTTGTCCTTTTATTTCGTTTAACCTCTTCTTTAAAGACCTTGAAAAGTAATAACTTGAATCCAGTATTTACTGAGGTGGGCTGAGCGTCCCAAGCGTAACACAAAACTGGATGGTGAGTACTGCATTAAGGAAAGTAGGGCTTTTACCCGAGACTTTCCTCTCCAGTTTGGTTGTGAAATTCTCTTTCAAAAGCCTGCATCCGGGATTCCACCTAGTTATTTGAGATTCACCTCCATTAACCAAGAAAACCAGTGGAAGATTTCTTGACTATTTCACCATGTTGCCAATCAATACTGGAGTAGCAAAAAAAAAAAAAAAAAAAAAATTTCTGGAATACTATTTTGTAATTCCCTCACTGGGGTGCATTGTGTAGCTGGAAATTCTCTTTGTAATAATTCTTGAGCTGCAGCCCAGGCTGCATGAAACACGGCCACTCCTTATGAATGCTGTTACGTTAGTATTGCCAGCTAAACTACTAAAGTATGCATTTGGGCTTCTTCATTCGTTTCTTTTGAGAACCTGATGCACAAAGAACTCTTCTGTTCTTTTCTGAGTTTGACCACTGGAAGAGTGCTGCATCGATGCAACGAAGACATTGTCATGCCTGGATGGACTGTTGTTTGAAGAATCAACAAAATCTTAATACATTGGAAATTTTAAACTGTATCACGTCGATTTAGCAGATATTTAGCTATGCCAGTGAGGAGTGATTTTAATATTTCTTGGCTGCTTAAGCAGGGCAGCTATGAACTATGACAAATGTAGATTTTTCAAAGCAATACAGAATACTAAAAGGAATCTTAATGAAACAAACCACACAATCTTTCTTAGCCATTCCAAAAGAAGCAAAGCAATGATTAGTATTTTCCTTTTAAAAATAAGTATTAGTATAATTTTGTGCACTTCATACTGTCACTTTTTAAATATTGCAGAAGAGATTTAAAGTTATAATAGAAAAACATGTGATTTGATAGGCGCACATAGATAGAATTCATAGCTCAAGACCAGAAACCACTGTCATCTCTTTCTTCCTCCCATTACAGCTATCCTCAGGTGCCAAATATTTTCGTTTTATAAATAAGGATAGTAATAAAAAGGGGAAGGTATCCTAAAATTCAAAGTTGAGTTGACTCAGCCTTACACAAAGATAGCCTTATTAGAAAGATTTATTGTGAGGCAGAAGTATATTTATGGCAGAGAGAAAAATAAATAGAAACTTTTCCTTTAGTTCAATTTCCTTATTTTGGTATATATTTTTCATTCCACATATATTTTTAAAAACAGTAACTGAGAAATGGAGATATATCCATTGACATAATTTAATATTCTCTACTTTTAAAAGTCACAACAAATATACTGCTTGTTGACTTTCCTGATATCTGTTCTTACATTATTTCCATCAAATCTACCAACATGAAGCATCAGAAGCTGATATTAACCTGTTGTTTTTTCAAAAGTCAGACCTCCCATGCACATTTTAAAATAGTATCATCAGAACACCCTATTATAATAATCTCAATTATTATAATGAGGCTCTTTAAACAGAAGTAAAATCTAGCTAAATTTATGGTTACATTGGAAGCAAATGTCTGTAGGTACCAGAAAAACAAAGACAAATATTTTGAAATATTCATATTCCTGAATTATCATCAACAGGGTAACATTAGCCTGAATATTGCTGTCTGATTTCTTAGACATTGAAACTTTTCTAAAATACTCTACTAAGTTCTGAAACTTATTTTATAAAATCCTTATGTTGATTTCCATTTTATTCTGAAGTACAATATATACTTTCATCTGCTAATCGGAACATTTAAAAACTTTATTCATGATTCAATTTCTTTTCTAATTTATTAGTAACATATTTCTTTAGAAAGAATTATCTTATGAGAAAATTCATTTAAAATGATAATTTAATGCAAATAAATTACCATCTGATAATTCCATAAGAACTCATAATCAAGCAACTATAATTAGAAAAATCATTTAAAAATTAGTCAAGAACAAGATGTACTTTTTTCTGTATTTCTATAACCTTTACCATCTAAATGAATACATTGTGTATATGGGACATAATATCATTAATAATACATTCTTGAAATTATTTATTTTGGAATGATGCTAACTCTGTCTCTTTGCCAATTCTAATACCAGGTTCCAAGTATTAAATCTACAATACAAAAAGAACTGACTATTCATCCTAGGGCTAGGAAATGAACTTCACAAATCATTAGGTTACTTTTTCTTGTTGAATTTCCTTGAGAACAATCTGTTCCTGGTACCCTGTGATAATTCAGCCAGGACCAGTATGACTACCAGAAGGGAAAATTACAGTGAGTTGCTAAGGCTCAGAAAAGTCATCACAAAAAGAGTTTGGTCCCATGACGAAAGCAACAAGATGTGGTTGGTAAAGTTATGATGACTACCTAAGCCATTCTCTCACCCTTCTCTTCTGGGAGAGGAGTGTGGGCAGTCTAAGAAGATCATATCTAGATTGGAAAGAACCATCTTTCACCATTAGGGGATTGGGAACAAAGAAGAATAGAAAAAGAAAAATCATGTAAGACTTGACTGAAGCAATGAAATAAAGCAAATCCTTCAATGTGCTTATCTTCAAAAGCGACAGTCTTTCCCAAACTACTCCTGGTACCAGCATGTGATCAGAAAGACTAGGGGGGTATTTCTGACTGTAAATGAATTATTTAATGACTTGGCTGCAGTTTTGTGACTTCCAAACCAGGAATTAAACACTCTTTTTAAGGAAAATAAAATAAAATAAAATTTCCTATGCTAGTCTCCCAGCAAAATGTATATGTTTTGGAGACTTCACAGGTATTATCTGAGTTCACATTTTAGCAACAGCTTATTAATAACCCTAAAGCTGTCAGAATCTCTATAGTTACCATTTACAATTTTATACTGTGAAAAAAAATACAGATCAGTGAAAGCATAAAGATAAATCAGAATTCATTCTGAAGAGCGACTAAGGCCTGGGAGAATACTATCAATTGCAGAATGAGGCATGTATAAAAGTTGGCTGAATTTCACTGATCTTTCCAATGTGAACAAATATACTATGTATATTGTGTGTATTTCTAGAATTCAATGGCAGCTGCTGGTGGTGTGGTAATTAGAAATCTATATAGAATATAGATGTTTTAGGAGATGGTGCCAATTCTGAACATTTTATGTGGGCTAAAAGTGCTTGTACTTAATTTTTTCTGCACTTACAATTGATTTGGTTTAAAAATTGTGTGCGTGTATCTGTTCTTTTTTCTGTTGTTGCCGCTTGTACTATTAAAATAATAGAGAATGTTAAATTATTTTGATGTGAATTGCAAATGATTTTTTTCATAAAGTTAAACATTTTTATCAGCTTTGTACTGTATAAATGTATTTCATTTTAGCATTTTAAAATACAGTTGCCTGTTTCTCAGTTGTCTAAATCATGTTATAGTTGGTGTTTGTGAAGTCAGTTATTTTTGAGAATATTAAAAAAGAGGCTGCAATATGACTTTAAGATCTTTCCCCTCAAATGGTTAGATTATTGCCTTAATAATATTTTCTAAAGCCAAAATGCCCTATATAAGTAATTAATTAATTCTGAATGGCCTATACACTTAAATCATAGTTTACAAAGAAGCCTGTGCAGGATATATTAAGGTGAAAACAGAAATAAAACACAAACCAATCACAGATGCTGTCCCCCAGTGAGACACTTATGAAAGACACCTTTTAAGATAATTAAAACATACATAATACTTTAAAAAAGGAAGCATCTTAGCAATATACATTTTTATGTGTGTTTAGAAATGCAAATATAAATTCTTTAACTAGTTCTACAATATATGGTCTTGGTAGAGGTAACTTCACACAGATAATACCTAGTATGGTAATATCATACCAATCATACACATACACACATGTATAGATATGTTACATTGCATATGTCTGTGTGACATATATTTTATGTGTATCTCTATGGGTTTATCATTGTCTTTTTTTTTTCTTTTTCCAGGAAAAAAAGATTCTTGTCAAATCACTTGTTACTTTGACTGATTCTTAAACACATTTACATCCCCTGATAATTTACATTAGCTGAAAGCAAAAGGTAGACTAGGTGTTTGCTATGTGGAAGAGAAAGACAATATTGTTTTCTTTTAACGTACACATATATATAAAGAGAGAACGACACTGAGAGTAATGGATATATATATCTATAACGAAGAGCTTCAAAAAGTTCATGGAAAATGGAATGAAAATATACTGAAATGTTTCCAAAAGCCCTTTTAAACTCCCACATTTCATATTCTATACACATGAAAATTCATATAAAGTATGCTTGATTACAAAAACAAAGGAGATAAAGCATAATGAGACACATATTTTCAGCTTTGTCAGAAGCTTTTCTTCCATGTCTTTCCTTCCATGTCTTCTGTTCTGAAAGAGTACCAACCAATGTGTTTATGTTTTTGTGAACTTGAGATTGAGGTTCTGGGTCACATACAGAAAACTGTCTTCTGAAGGTATAACAGGACTTCTAAGACTACATAGAATCTTGGCATACCATTCAAAATGAGTAGTGCAACTGAAATGACATGGAATTCAAGGTTGTTGTTGCTAAGTGCTGTCAAGTTGATTCCAGCCCATAGCGACCCTGAATAGGGTTACCAAGGAACAGCTGCTGAGCTTGAACCATTAACCTTGCAGTTCAAATTGCTTTGCAGTCTGGTGCATTAACCCACAGCGCCACACCAGGAAGGTCTATTATTCTGTCCTCTGTGACCTTGGGTAGTTTAGTTTAGCTTCTCTATAACTCAGTTCCTTTCTTTGAATTAAGAGTTAGCTTCTTTCAGTTCTAACATTCCCGGTACAAGATAAATGATCAATAGATAGTGACTAGCATTAGTGACAAGGAGCCGTGGTATCATGGATTATAAATGGGGCTGCTAACTGCAAGGTCAGCAGTTTGAATATATCAATTGCTTCGAAGGACAAAGATGAGGCTCTGTTCCCATAAAGATTTACAGCCTAAGAAGCCCTGTGTGGGGTACTATGAGTCAGAACCCACTCAGTGGCACATAACCACCACTGCCACCAGTCTAAGTGGCAATATAGTATTTACTGTTGTTCTTAAGTGCCATCAAGTTGATCCTGACTTAGAGTGGCCCTGCAGTGCGTTTCCAAGAAGCGACTGGTGGGTTTGAACTCCTGACCTTGTAATTTGCAGTCCAGTACTTATCCTACAGTGCTATACCAGGACTCCCTAGTTTTTACTATACAGTTCAGCAGGATTTTTAGGCATGCTACAAAGTCCTGGTGTGGCACTGTGGGTTAATGGGCTGGACTGCGAAGTCAGTTTGTACCAAAAGGTCGGCAGTTCAAGCTCACCAGCTGCTCCTCAGAAACCCTATATAAGGTCGCTATGGGTTGAACTGGTAGCGTAGTGGTTACGAATCGGACTGCGAACCTTAAGGCCAGCAGTTCGAAACTACCAGCCGCTCCGCAGGAGAAAGATGAGGCGTTCTGCTCCCGTAAAGATTTACAGCCTCGGAAACCCTGTACAGGGTCGCTATGGGTCGGAACCGACTCGACGGCACTTAACAACAACAATGGGTTGAACTGACTAGATGGCACTTAACAACAACAACATATGCAATACTGATACGGCACTGTAGGATAAACACTAGACCTACTTCTTAGTATAGTGGTAAATATCTCTGCCTGTCATGCAGGAGAGACCGGGGATTGAATTTCTGGGGAGGCAGATGCCCTTTTGGAGTCCTGGTGTGGTGCAGTGGATTAATGTGCTGGACTGCAAGGTCCGTTTGAACCACAAGGTCCATGGTTCAAGCTCACCAGCCACTCCTTGGAAATCCAATACAGAGTCACTATGAGTTAGAACCAACACAACAGCACTTAACAGGTGTATTAGGAAGAACTTCAAGATAATATCTACAAAGAGCTTCGGACTCATACTCCAATCATCTGCTGGAGTTCTCACGTGGCACTGTAGGATAAGCACTAGACTGAAAGGTCAGTTTGAACCTCAAGGTCGGCAGTTCAGTGTTACCAGTCACACTTCAGAAATCCTGTACAAGGTCCATAGAATTTGGAACCGACTCAACGGCACTTATCAACAACATCTTCTGCTGCTTTTCTAAATATACTTTACTGATCAGTCAGCATCTACTAACCTAAGTGTCTTACATATTGCTTTAGCTGCGGCTGCTGAAGTTAAGGAAAATACTCAACATATCTCCACTAAAGCAAGTGATGATGAAATTGGCAAAAAGCAAAAAAAAAAAGCTCCATTATCATAGATACACTCCTGTGTTGGCACTGTAGGATCAGTACTGTAGAGCAAACTGCAAGGTCAGCTGTTAAAACCAACCGGCTGCTCCTCGGAAACCTTGTACATGGTCACTATCAGTCTGAAGCCACTTGATGGTACCTAACAACAATAAATGGACCTTTATAGTCTACTTACTTCAGAAATACATAGAGAAGCCAAAAGAAAAAAAACTTATATTTAGAAGAATCGAGTAATACAAGTTACTTAGAATTTGGTTTCTGACAGATAAAACATGAACTCACTTTTCATATTCTATGAAACTAATAAACATTACCTTTGGATAATGTTTATACAAATGTATGTACCAACCACTAAAGTCAGTGATGATGTAATGGAAGAATTCTGACACTGTAGGATAACATTGGACTGCTAACTGCAAGCTTGGCCGTTCAAACCCAGCAGCCACTCCTGGAAACGTTATACAGGATTCAACGGCTACAAGTTGAAACAGACTGGAAGGCACTTTCCTACAGCAACAATCAACTTCTTCAGTCTGAAATTGATCAAACGCTCAATCAAGCTGTAATTGATAATTACTGGTCATTGGAATATGAAGATTGGAAACAAAAAGGAAGAATCAGTAGGTGGAAAACACAGCCTTGGTGATAAGGTTTCCACCACCACTCCTTTGTCAGATTGGCATACTTTGGTGGCTTGCATGTTGATGCGATACTGGAAGCTATGACACTGGTATTTTAAATACCATGAGGGTTGCCCATTGTGGACAGGTTTCAACTGAGCTTCCAGACTAAGACAGACTAGGAAGAAGGAGAGATGGACTACTTCCAAATATTTAACCACTGAAAACCTTATGAATAGCAGTGGAACACTGTCAGCATTAGAATGTTGAATATTGATACAGGATGAAAAGAACCAGAATATTGTCAGATATAGTGCCAGAAGATGAATCTCTCATGTTGGAAGACACTCAAAATACTTCTGGAAAAGAACTTCCTCCTCAAGGTACAGTTGACAGTGATGACACAAATGGAGTAAAGCTTTAGGGACCTTCATTTGCTGATGGGAAACAACTCAAAATGAGGGGAAATAGCTGAAAATATCCATTAATAATCAGAACATGGAATGTACAAAGTGTGAGTCTAAGAAAAGGATAAGTTGTCAAAAATTAAATAGAACATATAAGGTTTCCATGTACTTATATAGCATTGCTATGAGTTGAAATAGACTTGATCGCACTTAACAACAACAACAACAATGTGGGGAAAATACTGAGTGATGCAAATAATATATATATATTTTTTAATGCAAGAAATAACACAGAGTCACTGTGCCAAAGAGAAATGGTCAATGTTCAACCATTTCAAGAGGTGCTATATGAACAAAATGATCCTGAAGGAAGAAGTCTATGCTGCATTGAAGGCACTGTTAAGGAACAAGTCTCCAGGAACTGACAGAACTGATAGAATACAAATTCAAAAACAGTTGTAACAATACATTGACAGACATATGGCAGGAATTCAAACCAGATTAAGAAGAGGACATGGAACTAGAGATATCATTCTTGAGCTCATATGGATCTTAGCTGAATGCAGAGAACAATAAACATGTTTACTTGTGCTTTATTGACTATGAGAAGTCTTTCAACTGTGTGGATCAGGAAAAACTATGGACAACATTGAGAAGAATGAGTATCTGAAACACTTAATTGTGTTAATAAGGAACCTGTATATAGACCAAGAGGCAGTCATTTGAATAGAATCAACGAATACTGAATGGTTTAAAATCAGGAAAATCAAACAACATACTGCATTAGGGAAATCTACTGCACACGACCTCTTTGAAATGTTTAAGACCAGAGATGTCAGTTTGAGGACAAAGGTGCACCTGACCCAAGCCATCATATTTTCAGCAGTCTCCTATGCATGTGAAAGTTGGATAACAAGACCATAGAACAACTGACACATTTGAATTATGGTGTTGGAGAAGACTATTGAAAGTACCATGGACTTCCAGAAGAACAAACAAATCTGTCTTAGAAGAAGTATAGCTAGAATGCTCCTTAGAAGCCAGGATGGTGGGCCTTCATCTCTCATACTTTGGACATGTTATCAGGAGGGACTAGTTCATAGAGAATGACATCATGCTTGTAAAGTGGAGGGTCAGGGAAAAAAAAAGGAAGGCCCCCCAATGAGACGGAT